AAAACCTACTGACCTACTTAGGATGTAAGTCACGGCGCCCGCCTGCTAGCCTGCTCCCTAAAATATCACTGGTTTGCTCATTTCTGTATAAGGTGCCTACATTCTGCATAGACTGGTGAAATGGCAACATGTGCAAATGGCTTTAGATACCTATTAGGTCCATCATTTACCAGATAGCATATATTCAACACAAAAAACAGTGACAATTTGTTGTTGACAAAGGACAGCTGGGCATATAAAGGGCCCATACCTTCAGTAGCTTAGGGCCTCATCAAACCTAAAATCTGGCCCTGGTGTCGCGTGTGTGTGCACGCACACACACACTTGTTGTTTAGTCATTTAAGTCGTGTCCGACTCGTCATGACCCCCTGGACCAGAGCACGCCAGGCACTCCTGTCTTCCACTGCCTCCTGCATTTGGTCAAACTCATGCTGGTAGCTTCGAGAACACTGTCCAACCATCTCGTCCTCTGTCGTCCCCTTCTCCTTGTGCCCTCCATCTTTCCCAACATCAGGGTCTTTTCCAAGGAGTCTTCTCTTCTCATAAGGTGGCCAAAGTATTGGAGCCTTGGCCAAAAGTATTGGAGTGCACACACACACACCTACTCAAATCCCTGCAAATATACAAGTTGCTGTCAGGAATGACGTGGTCCTGGGGGTCCAGTGAATTCTGCATCACCTGACGTTCCTTTTGCCAATAGGATTTCCCACTTTTATCAGACTGGAGAGATCCTGGTTCATTCCCACTCACCATGGAGCCCAAATGGGTGCCTATCACAATCTCTCGGCCTACTCTATTTCACAGGGCTGTTTTATAAGGATAAGGTGGGTGGAATTATTGCAGAGCAGCTTGAGCCTCCTGGAAGAAAGCTGGGATAAAAATGCAGTAAATAAACAGAATGCCGTAGTTGCTTGAGAAGCAGCAATTCCGGAGGTTAAGCCTTCTGCATAACTGTCCCTCCAAGATTTCTGTGCCTGGATTCCCACTTAATGCAACCCCGTCTCATTAGTAGCATTGGACCCTGCCTTAAGTGAGACAGACCATTGTCCATTATTGAAGGACCAGCCACATCTGCTATTGGGTAGGCAAGACCCACAATAACCCAGAGATGCATTTTAAATAAAAGCACATACATTCTACTCATGTAAAACACGCTGATTCCTTGACCATCCGCAGGCCGGATTGAGAAGTCAGTTGGGCCACATCCGGCCCAAGGCTTTAGGTTGCCTGCCCTGCCATAAACCTACCCTCAAAGAAACTTGAGACCAGCCAAATCAAACAAATCTGAAACATGATGCTGCTGTTCATGAAACCTTTCCCTTTCCCTCTGGGATATTCTCACCGCCAGACAACCCTCCAGAATGACGGGGATAAACTGGGGGAGTTATGAAGTGTCAAGGATGGAATCTATGCAAACGAGTAGAAGAATGTCCTCCTGTGGGATTGTGCTTCAGGGCAGAATAAATGTCTGTGGTGGATGTTGCAACGCATGAAGCAGAAGAAAAGCAAGGGAGATTTCAAGCAAACTTAATGAAACAAAGAGAAGTTCTCACCTCCTCAGATACAATCATCTTCATTAATGGATAATTTTTGGTCTAAGAATTGTCTAGCACTGTCTATAGCATACTTGCAGTCATATATAGGATCGATCATGCCAAAAACCCGCTTAGTCTCTGTTGCCTCTCTTCATTCTTTCATGTTTCCCATCTTGCCGTTCATTAAGTGCATGCATTGTAAATATGACAACTTTGTTCTATGTGCATGCCAAGAGATTAGCTTTCTCATATGTGCTCTGCAAATATGAACCATTGTGAAGTCTAGAACAGGCCTGGGGAACCAGAAAGGTGAGGGAACACAGACCCTCCAAGGGTCCCTTGCTTTCCAGGGACAGTCCTGGATTTCCAGAAACCATCCCAGTTTCTGATTTGATGCTGGCATATCCCGCTTTTCCTTAGGATGTCCCTGTTTCCATCAGAGGAATTTTGGCAGTTATGTGATCCCCAGAGTTAAGGACCTAAGTAACTATACAAGCTTTAGAAGACACCTGAAGGCAGCCTAGTACAGTGGTACCTCGGGTTAACATACGCTTCAGGTTACACACTCCACTAACCCAGAAATAGTGCTTCAACCATCTCGTCCTCTGTCATCGCCTTCTCCTTGTGCCCTCCATCTTTCCCAACATC